TGCAGAGGGTGCATTGCCTCCCGTGGACCCGGGCAGCTGCGGCCCGGCCCGCGAGGGTGACACCATCGGCGGCGGTTTTGTTGCACAAGCGCCTTTCTTTCCTCCGCCTTCCTATGCACGACAAAGGTTTGGAGCTCGATACCCTGAACCCAGCCTTTAATGACGTTAGGATTGGGGCTGCGAATTAGAAATCATCCCATTTCCGCCAAAGAGGAATTAGCTGCTGCAGAAAGTGGCTGCTGTCTGGCTTTTACATGAGAAATTCAAGTTTTCCGACTGGCACCTAAAACCTGAAACTCCCCCTGTAAAATACTCCCCAAAAGTCCAGGCAGGTCTCTCTGGCGATGCCAGGTATCATGGTTTTCTTTAAAATGAGAAATGACTTCAGAGATAATTTGGAGAAAGACACCCACTAATCCCTCCTCACCCCACCAAAAAAAAAAGCAACCATTTTTATATTTCTTTCTGGCCTTTTCAGGTTATGCATCTAAACACGTATTTTTCACATCGTTGTATTATGTGTACACACCTTTTATTTTCTGATCTTACCCTCCCTAGATGGTGGCTTCCCACTTTCTCCTGGTGAATACCCTTGGGAGGTGAGAAAAATTGTCCCACGTGCCTTATATTTAGGGTCATGGCTGGCACTTTCCTTTTCCTCTAACAGAGACCCTGCCGTCCAGCCCTCACTCCTCGCCTGGCACTTCCCCAGTGCCCTCCCCTGAGAAAGGCGGCTGGCCTGGGCACCTGGGAACCGGCTTTTGTGTCACCCGAATGTGAAAATCTCCATCTGTGCTCACACTGCCGTGATTCCAGCTCCAGCACATCCGAGGGAGAATGGGTCACTGAAAGCAAAAGATGCCAAAAAAAAAATAGAACGGCAGGCGTGGCTCAGGGGTTGAGCGTCGACCTATGAACCAGGAGGTCACAGTTCGATTCTGGGTCAGGGCACATGCCTGGGCTGCGGGCTTGATCTCCAGTGTGGGGCGTGCAGGAGGCAGCCGATCCATGATTCTCTCTCATCATTGAAGTTTCTATGTCTCTCTCCCTCTCCCTTCCTCTCTGAAATCCATAAAAATACATTTAAAATAATAACAATTGTTTCAAAAGAAAGCAAAGGATGCCACAGCCAAGAAAGCATTTCAAATTCCAAGTGGAGACGGGAGCAAGGAAGATCTGAGCATGCAGACAGATTGCAGGAGGTGCTGACTTTTCAGAAATCCGTGCTCCCGCCCAGCTGCCCCTCCCTGTCCCGGCTTGTAAAGGTTGCTTTGTGCTTTGACGGACAGGCGAGGCCTGGGCTGGAAAGGGCCGATGTCTTCCTGCAGAAATGCCTTCCAATGTCCCCGCATTTCTAATGGAGGGCCCTGCTGTTATTTCTGGAATCCCCGGGGCCGGGCTGCGGACACAGGAGTGTTTATGGCCATGTGGGCTGGGGTGGAGCTGGACACCAAGAAATCCCATTGGAGAGAATTTGCATGTGGAAGGTCAGATAAAATGCTTTCTGTGTGACCAGCGAATTTCAAGCTGACCGGAATGAGAGACAGCTCAGGCAGGGAGGGACCAGCGGAGGGAGATGGGGGATGACTGCTCCTGAGGGGGTGCGGGCTGTCGGGGGACTGAACCTCTGTGGGAGGGAAGGAGGGAGGGGACAAGCGCAGGAATTCTTTGTCGGAAAGTCCGGGCTGTATGTACTGCCACCTCCCCAGGTGACCTTGGGCAGGACGTTGCTGCTCTCCTGTAGCTCAGTCTCTGAAATTTCTGCTTTCATTCAATCATCAGATCAGTACTGAGCACCACCTCATATCGTTATGGTCATCTGGAATGAGGGGTGAAGCTGCCTGGGAACAGTGGCACCCTGTGGACTTGTTAAGGACGTTATGAGGGACGGGAGGAACCAGCTCAGATCTAAACTCCTCTGCACCTGGGAGAACTCAGGTTGAGAAGAGAAGGCTCTGGAAGTCCCTGGACACATGAAGAGCTCACATTTATTGAGTGAGCACACGTGTCAAACACTTTTGAGTCTTTTGCAAGTACATGTTCGCTCATTTACTTTGCCTGACGCCGCTATAAAACAGCTACTATTATGATCGCAGACCAGGAAGTGGAGGCCGAGGGAAGGCAGGCATCATGCGCGGAGTCGCCCAGCTCATGAGTGGCAGGGCCTGGGTGTGAACCTGTGCCGCAGGAGCCCGTCCCTGTAACCGCTCTGCCAGCTCTCTGCTCAGTGTTGCGGGGGTGCTCAGAAAGACCAGACTAGACTCTGTCCTCTAGGTCGGCAAACCACGGCTCGCGAGCCACATGCGGCTTTCTGGCCCCTTCAGTGTGGCTCTTCCACAAAATACCACATGTGGGCGCCCGTACAGTGTGATTGAAACTTCGTGGCCCATGCGCAGAAGTCCGTATTTTGTGGAAGAGCCGGTATTTTGTGGAAGAGCCACACTCAAGGGGCCAAAGAGCCGCATGTGGCTCGCGAGACACGGTTTGCCGAGCCTCAGTTTGCCGACCACTGCTCTAGGAGTTCCGTCCTAGTAAACCCGCCGCGTGGTAAACACCCCCGCCAATGTGCTGGGGAGATCTCTAGGGAACAGGCAGCGAAGAGAGAAAGGCCCGCGAAGCTGTTGTTTTCTTTGTTTGACGGTCTTGTTATTTTTTCTAAATGACTGGGTGAGAAGAAGCTGTGAGCACACTGAACTCGAAGCCAGAAGATCCCAAATCCCAGCCCTGCTCTTGGTTTGAGGTTTGACCTTGGACACCGCGGTCCTCTCTGAGCCTGTTTCCTACCCGAGATGATAATCCCTGCCTAGAGGGGCTGTGGAGCCATGACACAGGAGATTGCTGGGCCCTCGGGGAATAGAATATTCGTTTCTTCCTTCTCTCCCTCCGCCTGGGGGTGCCTGGTGGGGGAGCCCAACATGCTGCAGGGGCCTTGGAGCCTTAGGAACCCTTAAGTGAAGGCTTACCTCCTGAATTACCTCCTGAATCCTGTTGTAATTAGTGGAGTTAATGGCCTGCAAAATGGCCACATTCCTCAGACGTTTCAGAGTGAATGAGTCCTGGTTGAGTTTGCTCTGGTAAATGGTTTCAGTGGGCTTTTTTTTTATTATTATTGATTTTTTACAGAGAGGAAGGGAGAGGGATAGAGAGTTAGAAACATTGATGAGAGAGAAACATCAATCAGCTGCCTCCTGCACACTCCCCACTGGGCATGTGCCCACAACCAAGGCACATGCCCTTGACCGGAATCGAACCTGGGACCCTTGAGTCCGCAGGCCGACGCTCTATCCACTGAGCCAAACCGGTCAGGGCTCAGTGGGCTCTTTGAGTAGGTCGTCGGCCAGTAGCTTCTTCCTCTCCTGCCAGAGGCAGATATTTTACCAACAAACCAACACCTGTGTGGGGCTCTTCACCGCAAATCCTGTAGCATCGTCCTCAGATCTTCGGTTTAGAGTCCTGGAAGGGTTGCCCCCACGTCCGCTCCACCTGCATGAGCTTGGTGGAGGGTCCTCTCTACCTGCATGAGCTTGGTGGAGGGTCCACTCCACCTGCATGAGCTTGGTGGAGGGCCGGGACAGGTGGGGAACTCCAGGCGGCCTGATGAGCAGCACCTTCCCGCACGCACGTCCCCTGGCTGAGGGCGGCTCAGGCCTGCAGGGGGCGAGGCTGGCTCCCACCGCCCACAGCAGCCCGCTGAGCCCGCGTTGTCCATTCCTGGCATCTCCTGGTTGCCCCTCAGCCACACCTTGTCCTCCAGTTCGCGCTGTGCTCTCAGGGAAAAACCGAATCGAACCCTTCCATCGTTAAGACACAGGCAAGTCTTCAGCAGCGGTTCTTGCCACCGTGGGCATTAAGGGGAAGGCAGCGCTCCCGTTTGCGGCGAAAGCTTCGCTGGAGAGTTTCTGCTTTCTGGACA